TCATATGTGGTTTGGAATCCTATTCAAATCGCATTCCTGGAAATCTGTTTCAGTCTGACCCCTCAGATCGGATTTAGCGTAGCTTTTTCACGCCCTCATGCCAACGTAAAACGTAAACACGTCAGACGTTTTTTGCCGAAAACATGCCAGAAACAAGCTTGTGTCGTTGCGAAGTGCAAGTCAAGCGGAAAAACACAATATACTGCTAATATACGCATCTCTTTGAGTTTTGAAAGTAGCAGAGACGGCGGCACGGAATAAAGCTGCACATTCCAGCTTCCTGCGTTTCTGCCGCTGCCTCACAAGACGAAATGTCGTAAGACAACATCTGTATTGCAAACTGTATTGTTGTTACTGTTGTTTTTAGCGTAGGCATAACAACGCAACGGCATTACCATAGAAACCAATGCACATTCCGTAAAAAAAAGAGCGCTTATGGACACACAAATTGGATATGAACAGTTGCGATACACTGTGTGGACAGTCAGTTATTCAAATCAGATTCCATCCAGATATGCACAAAATCGGATTTGGGCTGACAGTCTGAACGAGGCTTTAGTTATCATTTTAATGCACAGTGAATCACTTATAACCAGGCTGTGCCACAGATTTCACAGAATTCAAAAACATCTACACTTCTGATGGGCGCCTTGGATGTTCGGTTATAAAAGACCCCATGAATTTCTTGATGGGTGCAGTTTTTAGTCCTGTGTTGACAGATTTTCTATTGAAACCGGAAGTTGGGAGCGACATTAGTTCACATCGCATTCGACTTTAGTACACGTCACATTCTTGAACCTGTGATTTGCTATTTCTAGTCAGAGGCGTTTAGTATTAGTGGGAGGGATATACTTATAGATAGCAACAGCCACGTTCTGGAAGTAAAAATTCCTTAAATTTTCTCCATAGGGAAATTGATTTTAAACTACAACTTATAAACCTTTAAAGGGCTCATCAGATGAAAAATCTGACTTTTTCCGTGCTATAATTGAGTGTCCGGTGCATCTACCAACTCAGAAAACGTGAAAAAGAAGAACCCAGTAAGTTTGGTTTTGTAAGCCTTTCTCTGCAAGCATGTGAGAAAATGAGCCGATCAGATTTCTCTCCCCTTCTGACGTAGGAAGGGGTTCTTATTATAATATTACCGCCCACGGCCGCTGACTGACACAGCCGTATTAGCAGAGACCCCGCCCAGAGTGAGCCGCACACAATCCGCCATGTTTATATTCACGCTAGAGCATTCAAAAGCTGCATTCAAGGTAGAAATGTCTTCTTATTAAAGCTATAGAAGTTATTCAGTCAAGAGCAGTGAGTGATTTTCTGTTTTTATTTTATTGTTTGGGTCATATAACAGCGTAGACAGCGGTATAGGTACTGCATATTACGCTGCTGTCACTTCATACACAGATCTAATATAAACATGCGATTTCTTTTAGTGCCAGTATTTCCTCTCTCAATCAGTAGAAAATATGGTTAACACCCGGTCATGCATGAAAAAAAAAATACCGTCATGTACCGTGAAACCGGTATAATTTTGAAAAATACCATGACATAAATTTTTGGTCATACCGCCCAGCACTAATTTCTTTCCCATCTGTTTACCTTCACAGACATAACTGACTGTTTTTGTAGCGTGTTTTAACATAACCTTGTATGTATTTGTCAGTTTAAGCGCAATAAGACATGAAAGAGAACTTTGTTTAGTACTCACATGCCGTGTGACAGCCACTTTCTGTGCACTCAGAAAACACTATATCAGAAGTTTAAAACACATGATTTCAGCGTGATATACACGATAATCAAAACCAAACAGATGTTTTTTGGCAGAGTATTTGAGGTACCAGCTGTAAAGGCACAACCCTATTCTGGAAAAGGGGGCGGGGAGCAGCAGCTCATTTGGATTTAAAGAGACATGCACGAAAACAGTGCGTTTCAGCTTCCACTCAAAATAGGCATTTTCAAAATGATATAATAAATGATCCGTGGGGTATTTTGAGCTGAAACTTCACAGACACATTCCCCAGAATGGAATGTGGTGTCCCTAGACACCTGAGACTTATATTACATCTTGTAAAAAGGGGCATAATAGGTGCCCTTTAAAGACAGACCTACTGTGAGCTGCAAGTGTTTAATTGATGGTATATGCTTCTGTTGAAGCCATCAATTTGCATTATTGCAACTTTACGTCAAAAGAACTGTTTAGTGCTTGCCTACTCCCGTGAAGCACTGTGAACGTGATTGTCAGTTTCCCTTTGCTCTTAAACAATTTAAATAAAAATACAAAATACAAAAATACAAAAAAAGATATTTTGCACAAAAAAAAAGTAAAATATGTTGCTTCTATATACAATAAACATCTTTTAAAAGTTTTATATTTATTTGTCCTTTTTTAATTCAATTGTCGTTTCCTACATTAAAGGGTTAGTTCACCCAAAAATGAAAATTCTGTCATTAATTACTCACCCTCATGTCGTTTCAAACCCGTAAGAACTTTGTTAATCTTCGGAACACAAATTAAGATATTTCTGACCCTGCATAGACAGCAATGCAACTGAAATGTTCCCAAG